CCGTCCGTTGTGAGCCACGTCAGACGCCACGTGGCTACACGTCATCGCCACGTCAGCGAGGGAGAAGAGCCACGTCATTCGCCTGCTGGGCTGCAGGCTGGGCTGCTGCCTGAACCGGACCGAACCGGTTCGTGCTTTTGGAGGCCGGTTCACCCGTTTCCAGATCAGTTTTGGACGAGGTCAGACCGGTTCTTACCATTTTCGGCCATTCCGGATCCAACGGTGAGCTCCGTTTGTCCAAATTCGGCTTCGAAAATAAGGTACGAGATATATAGAGCGTTTTATTATGGATAAATCATCGTCGGACACCATGATTGTGCTCACATCCACAAACTACAATATGTGGAAGCCTCGGATGGAGGATTTGCTAAGTTTGAGGGATTTAGCGGATCCTCTTGATAATAATGGTGTGAAACCGGATAAAAAGACGGATGAAGAATGGACAAAAATGAATCGAAAAAATGTCGCACAAATTCGACAATGGATAGATCATAGTGTGTTCCACCATGTTGCTCAAGAACAAAGTGCTTACACACTATGGGAGAAGCTTGGTAGCATGTATCAAGCAAAAACCGCCCGAAATAAGACGTTACTAATGAGGAGATTAGTAAACCACAAATTACGTGGGGGTATTTCGGTGTCAGAACACACCAGTCAATTCTAGGATCTTGTGAATCAGTTGAACACCACCGGATGGGTTCTCAAAGATGAAGAGCAGGCGATACTACTCTTGAGCTCTCTACCTGACAGCTGAGAGACTCTTGTTGTCACTCTCAGTAATTCTGCTCCAAATGGGAAGGTGACTATGCAGATGGTCACAGATGCCCTGATGAATGAAGAAGCCCGAAGGAAGGAAGCCGGAACGGAACAATCATATGTCCTCATATCAGAAACTAGCAGACGAGGGGGAGGCAGAAATGGAGGAAGAAGTCGAGGTCGAGGTAGAGGTCAAGGTCAAAGTAGAGGAAATTCTCAAGTTCGCGGAAGATCACAAGAGAGAGGTATGTCCTTTGAAAACAATACTTGGTTCGAAGGATATTGCAATTACTGTAGTAATTATGGACATAGGAAAAGAGATTGTAGAAAGTTTCTACGAGAGAAGCCACAGACGAGTCAAAATACTAGCCAAGAAGATGGTGAGACCATGGTTAGTTTGTCATCAGACGTGTGTCTTGTTACACATGGTGAACAAGAATGTTTACACTTAGGCACTCATGATGTTGAGTGGGTGATTGATACAGCCGCATCATTTCACGCCATTCCACACCAGAACTTATTCACAACTTATAAGTCCGGAGACTTTGGAGCTGTGAAGATGGGAAACACCAGTTTCTCGAAGATTGTTGGCATTGGTGATGTGCACATAATAACCAATGTCGGATGCGCACTTGTGTTGAAAGATGTTCGACACGTTCCGGATCTTAGATTGAATCTTATCTCCGGTACAGCTCTGGATCAACAAGGATATCTTAACCGATTCAAAGAAGGTACGTGGAAGCTATCTAAAGGTTCCTTGGTTGTTGCAAGAGGCCATATTTGTGGCACTCTTTATAAAACTCATGCAAAGTTGTGTCGTCCGAGTCTCAATGCTGTTGAAGAAGAGATATCACCAAACTTGTGGCACCGGAGGTTAGGTCACTTGAGCGTGAAGGGATTGACAACTCTTGCAAAGAAGGAAGTCATTTCCATGGGCAAAGGTGTTGCCCTAGATTCATGTGAGCACTGTCTATTTGGGAAACAACACAAGGTTTCCTTCAGTTCTACCAAGAAGAACCATACAGAGTTACTCAGTCTTGTCCACTCTGATGTATGTGGACCCATTGAAGAGGAGTCACTTGGAGGAAGCAGATACTTCGTGACATTCATTGATGATGCATCACGAAAGGTATGGGCCTACTGTTTAAATCGTAAGGATCAAGTGTTTGATCGATTCAAATCATTTCATGCCATGGTAGAAAGAGAAACAGGGAAGAAGCTGAAGTGTCTGCGTTCAGACAAAGGAGGAGAGTACACTTCCCGAGAATTCTCAGCATATTGTGCCGCATATGGAATCAGACATGAGAAGACGGTTCCACGAACTCCGCAACACAATTGTGTAGCCGAAAGAATGAATCGGACCATTATGGAGAAAGTTCGTTGCATGTTCAGTCTGGCTAAGCTACCTAAGCCATTTTGGGGTGAAGCTGTGCTGACAGCTTGTTATCTTATAAACAGGTCACCTTCTGTTCCTTTAAACTTTGAAGTGCCAGAGAAGAAATGGTCAGGAAGAGATGTTTCTTACTCTCACTTGAAAGTGTTCGGGTGCAAGGCATTTGCACATGTGTCCAAGGAGTTGAGACAGAAGCTTGATCTCAAGTCAAACCCATGTAACTTCATCGGCTATGGAGATGAAGAATTCAGATACCGGTTGTGGGATCCCGAAGTGAAGAAAGTTATTCGAAGCAGAGATGTTGTATTTCATGAAAACGAGTTTCATGGGTGTGCTCCAATAATCCGCCAACAACATACTCCAGAAGACGAAGTGCCTGTATCATCAAACATTCCTCTCAGCGACGAGGAGATGCATGATTCTACTGAACACGAGAGTGATGGTTCAGCAGGTGATGATGATACTCACAGTGATGATATTCCTCAGCAGGGGGAGCCTTCATCTGAAGACGAATCTGAAGGTATTCATGTTCGACGTTCTATGCGAGGCATAGTTCTACAAAGAAAATACTCCACATCCGAATGGATACTTGTTGCCAGCGAGGGGGAGCCAGCGAGCACCGCAGGAACGAGAGAAATAAAGAAAAAGGTGGAGGGGGAGATTTGTAGGTATCTTCCACCTTCTTTCTTGGAAATTGCCAAGAGACACCTTAACATGGAGGCACCTTCTTGGAAAGAGCTCTCCAACAAATAGGTGTGGGAGAAGATATGGAGATAACTAGGAAGTTTGGATGCAACTTCCTCATGTCTCCAAACCAGCCCTATAAATAGAGTGCTCCATTGTTGTTCATAGTATCAGTTTAGAAAGTGAGAAAAGTGTGTGAAGAGTGAAATACACTTAGTGTAGAAGTGTATTGGTGAGGATTGGTTTTTTGTAATAGTTGAGTGTGAGAGTTTGCTCCTCCTATTGTAATTCTGTTCTTGATATTGAATAGAAGAATTTTCCAATCCCAACACCATGAGTATTTTGTTTTGCAAAATCAATCAAATGACGGTTTCAAGTTTTGAAACGTAATATCGAACCAAAAAATGAACTGAACTTTCTACTTTGATTCCATATTTGATTTTGGGTTAAAACCGAATCGAATAAACCGAATTCACCCCTAGACTTTGGTTTTCAAAAATAAAAGTTGCAACCTTTGGGGTTAACAAGTACGTGTTATTTCGGAAATTTAAAGACATGCGATCTATTGTTTAGAATGTTTTTACTTGGACTATAATTTGCTGGTCTGGTCTGGTCTGGTCTGTTTTAGTCTAGTCTGGTCTGTTTTAGTCGGAAATGTGAGATTATTTATAGTTTTTCAAAGAAAGGACAAACAACTTGTAATAGCAGGTTATTGACCGATAAGACTAATAGAAAAGGATAGGCGGCCATGAAAGAGGAAATTGGAATTAGTTGAAAAGACCGATGAAGACTGAAGAGTGAGATTAGTGTTATGAATTTGAAAAGAGATAATAACCCTAAATAAGACTAAATTAATAATCTCTAAATGCACAAATAGGACTATGTTATTTATATTTCCCAAAAAGGACTAAAGTATATTCTATCTTCCTATTCTACCCTTACCACAACTTAATAAGATAATCATATTTTAATTTGTAATAGGGAAAACCATCAAATAAGCCCCCGTACTATGACGAAAAAGTCGATTAGGCCCTCGTACTTTACAAACACTCAATTAAGTCCTCGAACTATTAAAAAACGTTCAATTAAGCCCTTTTGGTCGGTAAGTGACTGGTTTCCCGGTTAAACGGCGACAACGCCGACGATGTGCTCGAACCCTAGCAACGGCAGCTGCCGGGAAACAGGTTACATTTAACCGGGAAACCGGTTACTTACCGACCGAAAAGGCTTAATTGAACGTTTTTTAATAGTTCGAGGACTTAATTGAGTGTTTGTAAAGTACGAGGGCCTAATCAACTTTTGCAGCATACTACGGGGGCTTATTTGATAGTTTTCCCTTTGTAATAAATACAAAAAAAATAACTTATACAAAAAGTCGTAAAAAATAAAAAAAAAAATCTCAAATATTTTTATGAAATCTGAAAATCATAAAAAAATAAAAAATATATTTTTTTTAGAAAAAATAAAAACTTTAAAAATAAATAAAAAATAGATGAAACACCTTAAAAATTTAAAAAAAAAATATGGAGACCTTTCCCACAGTATCGGCTACTGCCCAACAACTTTATCTCTTATCGGCTAAAAACGCCATTTTGTGTAAAAATTGCCATTTTTCTCTGAAAAAGCCATGAAAATGGCATTTTTACTCTTGAAAATGCCAAAATTTTTCTCGAAAACTACCATCAAGATGGCATTTCTGACACATGTTGGTATTTTTTTTCGGGTGATCAGAGCTGGTGGTGTCGAGAGGTTGGTGAGGCGGCATCATAGGCCTGCATATTTGTTTTATATTTCTTACCGTATTTATTTATTTGATTTTTATTTTTATACTTTTTTATTTTATAAATTTTTATTTTTCGAATTTTCTTATTTTTATTAATTTTAAATAATTTTGTTTCGTGTTTTTTTTACATTTATATTATAAATAAATTTATGTTTATTACTTTATATTTCAATTATTAATGAAATATGAATTGTAATAAAACGAAGAAAGAGTAGAATTGGAAAGCTAGTCCGATTAAGAGAATTTTTAAGATATGATCGTATTTTTAGTTTTTTACCATTAAAGTTTTTTTTAATGCCATTTAGGGAATTCTCTCATTTGAAATAGGAGCACTCAAAGACCCCACCCACCCCACGCCATGCCATTCATCCTCCTTCCAACCACCTCATATACACATATGTTTCACTGTTGGAGTCAGTTTGTTGTAGTAATAAATTTATGGTGAGAAGCACACCCTTTCTTTAAAATAAAACATCTACCATTGAACTACTCTCTCCCCGGTAAGTTGCAACATTAATTGCCTCATTAACAAAAACTACTACGCAGATCAGAAAACCTCTGCCCCCTACCTTCTCCCCTCTCTTCGATCGGTACTATTTCATATAAACAGCAATTAATTATAAGATTTGAAGAAGATGAAGTATGTCCCGGCATTCTTCTCCAAATCTTCCGAAGCAACACGTCCTCCGTGGAGTCCTAAAACCGCCTCCTCTGGCGAACCCAATGCCGAGGCCGTCGGTGATCAGTACTTGTCTTCTCCGGAGGATGAGTGCGTGGAGAATGTCATCAAAGGGCTGAAGTCATCCGAACGGCTCTTCTTTGAGCCGGGACAAGCCATCAGCTTCAAACGGAGCAAGGAGGAGGACGAGGTGGAGGCGGCGGTCAAGGAAGAAGAAGAATGCCCTATCAAGGAGAGTGTGGCATTGTCAATGGAGTCAATGGACCCTCTTTTGGACTTCAAGAGATCGATGGAGGAGATGGTGGCAGCCCATCATCATGACTTGGACTGGGAGTTTCTTGAGGAACTGTTGACTTGCTACCTCAAAATGAATGAGAAAAGAAACCATGGATTCATTGTTGGAGCCTTTGTGGACTTGTTGGTTTCGCTTTCTATGGCAGCTTCTTCTTCAGGGGAAGGAAATGGTTTCTTGCGATCCTGCACTGCTACCCATTCTTTTACCTCTCCTTTATCTTTTTGTTCTTCCACTTGCTCCGTCACCAGTCCTACTCTGTCCTCCTCTGCCGCACAGGAAGCTCAAGATGAGATTCAAAGTTCCGCTGGCACCGTTTGATCAATGATCAATCCATAGATCGATTATTGTTCTGTGATTTGAATTCATCAAGATCCAGCTAGCTAACTACTTGAATATATATGGAACGCACTTAATTAATTAAAGGCCGGGGATATATAATTGCAGTAGCTGTTATACATATATTAGCAAGCTAAGGGATCACTTCCTTTTTTCTTTTGTGGTTCGTTTGGAACTAGCTATAAGTGATGTTTAGAATGGGAGTTATTAACGTAGATATCTACACACAGTACATGCACTTAATTTGACATTTTAATCTCATGGTAAAATATTGTATTCATAATTCTGAAATCAATTCTGCTAATTATTAAATCACAACTGACAACTACCAAACCTCATTATAAAATGAGAAATGTTTTTCTAAACGAATAATACCTAATATCATACCTAAAACCACGTGCATGATTAATATGGCCAATATAAAGATTCTCCATAAAATGTGACTTATTAAATTTTGAAAAAATTCCACTTTTGGTCCCGATTATTGTACCACTTCCACATTTAGTCTCTTACTTTCAGATTGTCCACATTCCGTGACCATTATCCCCTCACCACTCCTCGTCCTTCCGGCCAAAACTCAGTCAAATTTAATGCAGATTTTAGGTATGAAAAACCAAATTTAATGCAAAGACTGATATGAAAAACCCAACCTTATATAAAATTTAATGAAAAGACTGATTATGGGGCTGATAAGTGGACTAAATTTGCCAGAATTTTGGCCCGAAGGACGAGGGGTGGTGAGGGGATAATGGTCACGGACTAAATATGGACAATCTGAAAGTAAGGGACTAAATGTGGAAGTGGTATAATAGTCATGGGACCAAAAGTGGAATTTTTTCTTAAATTTTAGTGACTATAATTATATGAGAGATTTTCTAAAATAGGACTAAGTAGGATCTGAAATTACAAACTAGGACTACTATGTTTTTGTTCTGGAAATAGAAGTAAGATGACATTATTTGTAAATATAGTAGTCCTGCTTTGGAATTTCCAAACTTGTTCGGTAAGTATACTCAAATGTTAGATCATAAGAGTATACTATAGTCACTTTTTGATCTGTATATTTGATTTAGAATGCGGTTGGTGTATGTTAAGCAAATCCCATTATATGAGAATTCTCATATATATAACGTACTGAACGAACTCTCCCTCCGCATTACACCATGCCGTTGGGGGCAATTAAAATATGAGGTTCTGGCAAAGTTAAAACTGGTAACTTTTACTTAATTGGATCAGATAACAAACATTTCCAAACGCAAACATTATGGTGACAAAAAGATTTGATGAGTTTATTGTTAGGTGCAGTTGTTTGAGGGTCACCGTTTATGACCCTTAAAACTATGAAAAAAATATTACAACTAACTGGAAATAATGGACCATTATATTATTGAATGAGGGAGACCGCATTTGCATTCAGTTATGGGTCTGAAACCATAAATAAACTACTGTTGATGAATAATTGATTATCAAGATTTGAAATGGTTGGTTGGTCATTTTCACTAGATAGTGGATAGTTACACAACACTGCTAAGCAAGTACGTGCGTTGGTTATATAACTCATTAATATACAAAACAATAATTTTGGGAAATAATGGCTTACCCTATTGGGTGCCTCGACGTTATATTTATACTAAAATCAGTTTGGGAAATTACACAGTAATCCTTATATAATTACATTATTACACCTCCTCAATCTGTGCAGGGGATACAACGCGCAGATTGGAACGTAAAAACTCAAAACGCTGACTAGACAAATTTTTGGTAAAGATGTCAGCTAACTGCAGCTGGGTAGGAATGTACTTCACAACAAGATCTCCATGAGCCACCCTCTCTCGAACAAAATGATAATCGATTTTTATGTGCTTGCTCCTATCATGCTGAATAGGGTTAACGGCTAAGTATGAAGCAGAGACGTTGTCACAATGGAGTTGTACTGGAGTCGAAATATAGATTCCCATGTCAGCTAATAGTGACCTGATAAAAAGTGTATCCTGAACAGTGTAAGCTATGGCCCTGTATTCTGCTTCTATGGAAGATTTGGACACGGTGGGCTGCTTTTTAGACCGCCAAGAGATGAGATTAGATCCAAGGAATACAACATATCCAGTAGTGGAGCGGGAAATGTCAGGACATCCGGCCCAATCTGCATCAGAATAAGCCATAATAACCGAAATATTTTTGTCAGATTTGAGCCATAGGCCGTGAGCTGATGTCCCCTGTAAGTACCTGGAAATTCTCTTGACAGCCAATAAATGAGTAGTACGAGGAGCATGCATAAATTGGGAGACCAAATGAACAACATATGTAGTATCAGGTCTAGTTATAATTAAATACTGAAGAGCACCTACCATACTGCGATACTTAGTTGCATCAGATAAAAGTTCCCCATCTGTAAGGGAAAGGGTGGTACGTGAGGGAAGAGGGATGCGAACAGGCTTAACTGTATGGAGATGAAAGCGATGCAAGAGATCAGAAATATATTTAGCCTGTGACAAAAACAAACCGTTGGGCGTGCGCTTGGCCTGAATACCCAAGAAATAATGAACATCGCCCAAATCTTTCATGGCAAACTGAAGAGATAATGTATGAATAACAGACATAACAAAAGAAGAAGAAGAATAGTGCAACTTTTCAAATAATAGTGCAAGGCTATATAATAGTGCAAGGCTAACCCTCATCGTTTAACAGTAGTTTATATGTATTCACTCATTCAATTCAATTTTTTCCTAGTTTAACTCAACGTCGTCAATATATTCACTGAACACATTTTGTTTTTAATTGAATGCATAAATCCTTAATCTTTTATGCGCCATGCTTGGTGTACACAATATGTACACAAAATGTGTGCATTGCCTGTGTACACAGGCAACTGGGTATCAAATTCTGCCCTTTTTCTAAATGAATTGCCTGTGTACACAGGCAACTAGAGAGGTTTTGTGTACAATTTGTGTACAATTCATGTACACTAAGCATTTTTGTTTTTTTATTACACATCATTTATGTCAGAATTTTATTTTTACCAATAATTATGATTTTATAAGTCAAACTCTGATGTAAAAAATATAAAAATGTGAATTAATTTTTTTGTAAGTATTAAAAATGCACACTTGAGTTCAATTTGAAATAAATTTCAATAAAGTGCACAATATTACATTATTTTCTATATTTCTATATTACTAAGTTTTCATTTTTAATACTATGTACTAGTTGAATATTAAGATGAATCAATTGAAACACGTGTTATTAAGTTGAAGTACTAACAATCAAATACTAGAAAAATACATGATGTTGAGTACGATATAAAAAAGGAACAAATCCTAATAAGGAGTACATTACAATAAAAATTGATATGTGTAAAAAATCTTGAATAATGTGATCTTAATTTCAACACTTGAAACTACTTCGAAAAGTTCTAGATAAAGAACTCTCGAGGTGTCAAAACTTTTATTTTTGTTTTAAAATTTATTTATGCAATATTGGTGTCATATAAATTATCATAAAAAGTTATGAATTTTGGTATATTTTTTTAAAATTTGGAGTAAAAATATAAAAGTATGTTTTATTTTACATCCTATTGGCCTCCGTTGAATGCCTTGATGCACCGACTTCCGTGCTCTTCCTGTTGTTCGTGCAAGTGAGTAAGGGACATATGTTATTATGTTTCCCACCCAAGGGTTCCCCATACCCACTATGGCACCTTCTTTGTACAACTTTTATTGTGGTGAATACCTAATATTTGGGGGTTTCACACTTTCACTCCACCGGTTTTGGACATCCTAACAAGGGTACAAATTGGGTTGGATTAGTACACAAAATTTTTGGAAATTTTAACATAATTGTTTTACCATAATATTTAAATATTCTTAAAATTTACAAAATGTATGTCTAACCTGCGTTAGCTCTGAAATAGTATGACCTATTGGCCTCTTTACTAAATATGGTAAAAATCGGACAAGGAGATCAACGACCCTGACGAGTGATTGGCTCAAGGGTCAACCCGATTAATAATCGCCAAACATGGTCAAAAACTATATTTACATACATACATGCGTACACATATACATTTTTTTATATAACTAGGAAGACAAACCACCAAAATAAGTGGGACAAACGTCAGGAAACATTTGACGTATTTTATTAATATAAAAGGAAAGTAAAGTAAAGAGGGGAACTAGGCCAAAACCTTCGAGCAGAACAGAAAGGAAACAAAAGTAAACGACAATTTTTGGGGAGGCTATACCAGACGCAGAATACATGAATCAAAAGAAAATAAAAACAAAGGCTCAAAACAAGTGAAAGATTAATAGCGAAACGAGGGCAGCCCAAAGTAGTCCATCCAGCAAGCTCTCCTCGCTGAAATAGGAAGCTGACTTGGGCTGTAGAAAGTCTGAAAATTATCCTGATGGGCTTCAGCTAAATAATTGGCAACCCAGTTGCCTTCTCTTAGAGGGGTGTATTGTATTAGGAATTAGTGGCAAAATTTTAAAAGTCCATGGATTTTAAAAGTTTAGGTGTATTCAATGTGGACTTTTAAAAGTCTACAAAAGTCTAGGTGTATTCAATGTAGACTTTTAAAAGTCTATAAAAGTCTAGGCGTATTCAAAGTTTCGTTCATTCTTATGGATTTCTAAAATCATGGATTCTCGTGGACTTTTAACTCATTTTTAGTACATTAATTCTCTTCGATTGTCTCTTCTCCTCACTAAAGATTTCCGTGGACTTTTCTTATATCGGTTTTTCATCTCGTCCCCCACCCCGCCAACTCTCCTCTTCTTTAGCCAAGTCACTCATTCCCTTTCGATCATTCTTCTTCAGCCTAGCTCACTCCACCCCTCTCCTTCCATTCTTTTTCTTCTTCAGCTTGCCCCACCCCCCTTGATTCGTTAATCCCATACTGGTTCGATTCTAGAAGTTTCTAGAAGAACTGATATAAGAATCGATAATATTACATTAGTGCAATTCTGGTACGTCGTCACTTAACCATTAAGAAAATAAATATTTTAACTATTACTTTCTTTCATCGTTAAATCGCTAACACATTTAAATATAATTTCAAATTAATAAATATATAACCGTAAATAAGTACACAAAATTTTACAAGATAGAAATGAAAAGAAAACAATTATTAAGAAGATAAACTCGATTGCAACTGTGCTTGTACCACATGTAGCAATGAGTGTAACGATTAATGTTCTTACTCATTAATAAAATGACCAAAATTCTTGAGCATTCTTGAAACTTTGAGTTTTTTTAATAAAAATAATTTTGGATTCTTATGCTTCATTTATTCTTGTAGAACTTTGTGTTGCTATATGAATTATATTTATTTCATTTATTTATTTATTTATTTATTTATTTATTTATTTGTTTGTCTATTTGTTTCTTATCATACTCTGTATTATACAGAGGAAATTATTCAGGGTAGGACTAAAACATACAGAGTAGAATTCTTTTTAAAGTATGATCATATGTTTGATTTTCCTTAAATAGGACTAAATATTACATATTCACCCCTAATTTAATTAAATAATATAAGTAATTGTCCATAATTCCCTTGCATCGTGAACATCTGTGCGGGGATATCTAAACTATTCAGGTAGTTTAGGGCGACATGAATATGACAGAATATCTACAGTTTCTCATCTCGAACCAGCAAATCCTGGTCCAATCTGTTGGATAGCCCAGGACAGCACCTCCTGAGTCGCCAACTCGGCATCAGTCAATGCCGGGGCCGGCTGGGATTCTCCCCGGGAATAAGGAATCGATCCTAAATGTCTTTGGTTCCCGGCTTTGATAGCTTGAAAGCAAAGGTGGACTTTGTTGGTGGCGGATCAGTCCGATGATGACAGTGGGGAACTCAAGTGACGGAGGCGGACGGGCAGATCGGTAGCGGCGGTCTAGGTGAAAATTTCGACAACCAGCGGTGGTGGTTCGCATTTAAAAGTCTATGGACTTTTTGAAAGTCAATAAACTTATCCATGGATTTAAAAGTCCATAAAATTCATTCATAAAAAAGTCTATGGATTTAAAAGTCCATTGACTTTTTTAAAAGTCCACGGATTAAAAAAAATCCACCACAATCCATATTCACTATCGAAGAACTCCAGAGCAAGCAAAGAGTCAGATTCAACATCAAAAGCTTCATAACCATTCTCGAGCATCCATCAGATAGCCACAGAGATCGCCCTCAACTCCGCCTCAAGGACCGAGTCAGCTTGGATGTTGAAACTGATAGCAGACTCAATCTCGCCTTTTCCATTTCTCATAATAGCACCACCGGCAACCTTATCAGATAAGAACCTTGCATCCACGTTTAATCTTTTCTTCTTATTGCTGGGTTTCAGATAAGAACCTTGCAAACATTTAAAAGCATATGTAACTACATTTCAGATTTATTTACATTTAGATACGTTTTATTGATCCATAACTTTATATACGATTTTAGAGCTTCTAGATATTGTAAATATGAAAATTACTTCATCTTTTGGTCATGATTCTAATCTTATACATATGAAAATCAATATTCACATATTTAGTTCTTTTACTAACGAATAACACTTTCCACTCAACTTATAAATTTTTAAAAGCATCTGTAATTACATTTCAGATTTATTTACATTTAGATACGTTTTATTGATCCATAACTTTAGATATGATTTCTTCACAAAATAAAAGAATAAAACAAAAGAAGATTCAGATGATCTATGCTCTATTCAACAAAATCTTAACGAAAAAAATGAGCTACTCTAGCCTCTGCTTCATGAAATCATGGGGAAGATTAAACACATCTTAAAACAAAAGTAGAACTTACGTATTGTGATACTTATACACCTTAGATATAAACATATTTAAGCCTAAACATATTTAAAATGAAAAATATATTGATCAGACAAAACAAAACCAAAACTATTCATTTCATACCACAAAGATTTAGACATAATTGGATTAAAATAAGAAGGTTCAGACAAGATCTTTAAAAATGAGATTATGTCAAAATTTTCAGGCGAAAAGTACAAGTTCTATGTTCTATATGCATGCATGATGTTATATGAAGGATCACTTACTATACATCTAAAATGCTACAATGTCAATAATATACAATAAACCTAATACTTATACATCACATATGAGACATACCCGTTATATAGAGTTGGTCACATATCTGCCTCAAGGAATAATGATCTCCTGCACCAGTTTCATAGTTGTCTTAAAACAATAAGATGCTTGAATCCAGCCTTAAGTTCTTGCTTTAATCTACAAATCAAATAAAAATACCAAAAAAATTATTAGTTCTTAAAGGAGTTAAAGAACAATATGAAAAATAAGTGAGAAGAAGATTACTCAAATTATACACCAATGGTAAAAAAAATGTTACTTTTTATAAGTAAGAAAATACTTATTGGTCAAAATTAGTAGTGTCAAGATAAAAACATAAAATAAAATAGATCATAAACGAACATACAATGGATTTATGATGTTGGTATAGATTGAACTTGAAACAAAATGCTTACTTGAATGACAAAATAAAGGACTTAACATAGTACTCATTCAAAACTATCCTTAACTACAAAGAAATAAATTTAATTTACTAATCCAATAAAATTTCAAAATTTTAATCAAACATCAATTTTTAACACTAGCACTGCTCAAGCTAAAGTTTAATAACATAGCAAATATTAATAAAAAATAGTTAAACCGCGTTCAAAATTTATCTTTTCCACAAAACCAATTTTAATAAATATCTAAAGATGATAACTCATAATAGAACATAAAAAATTCAGGCATTCGATCAGGCATTACTCATTCACAGATTTCACACATCAGATCATTTAGACACTAGAAATCACTTATCAATAAAACTTTGGAGACTGGATGTAACAATAGCATCTTCAAGGTTTGGAGAAATCTGTGAATAGGCTGTTGACGGCCCTTCAATTAACATGCATTTTGTTTTTAGGCCAATTTGAGATTCTATTTTTCAAGACTTACAAAGGAGTATAAGTCTGATTAAACAATAACTTACATAAGTTGTTGTGGAGAGAGAAGGAATGAAAGAGCGCCTCATGCCGTACCCGGTATCCGACGACTGTGCCTCCACCGCGCGCTTAAAGGAGAGAAGCGGCTGTTTGATGTCCTTGTCGGCCTCTATCTCTCACGGATTCATGCCAGCTATAGCCTATAGGTGAGTCAAAGAGAAAATTACCAAAATACGGGAATCTCCCGTCTGACAAGCCAAAATACGAGAGTTCCTTTTAGGTTACCAAATTACGGTAGTCGGAATTGGCAATTCCGACTGGAGGGGAAGTCCGGAATTGGGGGTGTTTTACCAAAACACGGGAAAACTGGGATATACTTGCCAAAAAACGGGGATTTATGTAGGGTTTACCAAAATATGGGAGTCGGAACTGCAACTTCCGACCAGGGATTAGGGTTTCGGAAAAACAATTTCCTCCCTCCAGTCGGATTAGCCAATTCCGACGGGTTTTTTTTTTTTTTAAATTTTTGGCCGCTTTTCATTTTCAAAGTTTTTTAAAACTAAACTTTTAAATTCTCTCATGTCGGATCTACCACTTCCAGGAAGTTTTTATTATTTTTTAATTTAAAGATTTTAATTTCCAACTAAAGTTTTAAACTAAATTGGCCAATTTCATTCATGTTTAAATTTTTAAATTGGCCGAATTTCTCTTTTTTTAATTAGTCGCCAATTTAATTTTTAAATTAGCCTAAAGTTATAGTTTTTAATTTTATTTTTTTAAATCCATTTGTATTGTGAATAAAATTCATAAAATGAGATACAAATTTGAATTTGTTTTAAATGCGATTTGTAAATTTAATGAAAGTGAACAAAACAAATGTAGGTTTCAATGTAATTTATTAATAAATAGATAGTACATATAATAATATAAATTTAATGATACTACATCTAACGTTGCGTGCTCGGCCCTGCTCCGTCCCCACCGCTAGTGTTCCAAGGCCCCATTGTGTCTCCATAGTAAAACGACGACGAATCCAGAAATGAATCAACATAATCAACCGCTTGTGTGGAGTACTGATAAGAATCATAATACGGCGGTGGTTGATCAAATGAGACACCTTGATGCGTTGAGAATTGAGGGGGTGGTTGATCAAATAAGACACCCTCACGTGTTGAAAATTGAGGGGGCGATTGTGAGTGCTCACCCCCACCTTCATGTTCATCTTCATCATCCTCTTCGTCACTTCCACTTTCATCTTCATCTTCATCTTCATAATGGAATATGCCCCGGCGGAGCATCTCTTCATCACCTACGTCCAGGGCCATCCGCTGTAGTCGTTTTTGACAGTCCTCATGACTTGCGCGGTCGGCTAAGAGCTGATTCAGCTCGTAAAAGCTCTGCCTCTGCATAAAAATGTAACACGTGTAAATAATATGACATGATATATGTTAATGAATATAGTATGTATTCAAAAACTTACCACAATACCCCAATCGTGTGATGTTGGGATGTAGCCTGTCGTGGGCACATTGTGAGAAGGGTTCTGGACACGTGTCATACCATGCTTCTGGTACCATTTTCGGTACCTCTTAGTTGCTTCGACGGACATATGTCGATCATAATCAAGAAAGTATATATTATGTTGTATGTCCGCCCACAACGCCAAGGCACCGGTTACTATGTTGGAACGATTGCCGTGATGATCAGTACCCGCCAAAGGAGCATCCGGAGTATCTTGCCTTATATGGAACTGCCGAAGAAATCGATCGGGGTAATGCATTTCGGCCATATTGCAAAATATGAGCATGACCCTAGCCGACCAAAGCGGAGCGTCATTAAGGATGATAGGTGGGAGTTCCTCGGACGCGTAGGGAGTGAAATCAAACTGTAAAAATTTTAATTTGCAATTTAACCACTATAAAACATTGTGTATTAAAAATTGAATAGTACGGTGGAAGTAAAAATTTGAAGTACTACCTGACTCTCACTCATTCGGTCTAGATCATCCCGGTACAGGCGTATGCAGTGTCTTGGGGATCCCTTATATGACTTGGGGACGATCCACCTACATTTATTTATTACCGAAATGAATTTAAAAACTCTAACGTCATATAACGCATTCTCAATTATTAAGATGTAATTGCCAACATACCTGCACCCATATGGAAGATGGTCATGTTGAATGACCTGAACTACTGAGGGACGGACCATCGAAATCCTCGACCAAGCCCAAATCTGTAACAAGTGCATACAACCGTCAACTTGTTTGGTTTCCCACTTGGCGCCGTTGCACAAGTTATGGTAGAGGTACCCGAGAACCGCTGATCCCCAACTCCATCGACGGGCTAAAGCCAAGTCACCCTGCAAGACCTCCAAAAAGTATAATCGTATTCTTGTCCCACTCGTGTCAGGGAACAAAAGGCCTCCAAGCAATTGCCATATTAGGGTTCTGGTGTGTTCGGTGACCTCTTCGTCTGTACTGTCAGGTAGGATCTGGTGACGGGTAAGAGCACTCATGGTGATATCACTCGTGCGCATATCAGTCTCTAGAGGAGTGAAACCACACGACTGCGTGCACAGGTCGATCCACTGAGCCTTACCCTTAACGGTTGGACCACTGAGGGGCATACCCCGAATGGGCAAACCAAGGATCATCGCCACATCTTGTAGACTAATGCCGACCTCACCGAATGGAAGATGAAAAGTATGTGTCTCCGGCCTCCATCTCTCCACCAAAGCGCATATTAAACTATGATCCACCTTCATACGGGCAATGTGCTCTACCCCCAAGAAGCCAGCATATGCTAACATACCTATCACTCTTGGATCTCGCTCTTCAACTCCGAATGCAGCTGAAGGGCAACTGACGCATTTCAAGCATGAGTCTTTGGAATTCGGTTCATACCATATACGGTCCGCACGATGGGCACGCAGTGGCAACGTGAGTAGTGAACGGTTAACAGGCCCTGGGCGCGGAATGTTTTGCTCCATTTGAAATTCCTAAAATAAGTAGTTATAAATTACTAAATTCGAAATTTAACACAAATTCTAAATGTAACACAATTTTTAAATTTGTAGATATTTATAGCTAAATTGAACTCTAAAATTCTAATTTCACAACCTAACACAAAAAAATAAAAAATTACTAAAGTAACAACTTGTAACGTCATAAAATCGAATTTTAACTCAAATTCTAAATGTAACACAATTTCTAAATTTCTAGATTTTTATAGCTAAGTACAACTCTAAACTTCCGATTTCACAATGTAGAGTAAAATTCTAAATTCACAATCTAAATTAAAATCTTAAAAGTTACCAAAATAACTAGTAATTTTGAAATTCGAAATAACTATAATTGCGAAATTAAAATCTTAAATTCGACTATTTAAATTAAAGAGTAAAATTTGAATTTCACAATGTAAATTAAAAAATTTACAAATTACTAAATTAACTACTTCTACACTCCTAAAACCGAAATTTAAGGGAAATTCTAAATGTTACACACTTTCTAACTTTCAAGTATTTTATAGCTAAATGTTACTCTAAAAGTCCAATTTCACAATCTAAATTAAAAAATTTATAAATTACTAAATTAACTACTTCTACACTTCTAAAACCGAAAATTAACTAACCTGGAAATTTGGCAGATCACAAATTTTGATTTGCTAGTAGGTGCTCTTGCTTGGGATTAAGTGGGGATTCTTGATCCAACTGGCTCGGCTCTATTTATATAAAAACAAATTAGTTGGGAGTTCTTGATCCATTAAATAAAAGTTGGTGTTGTAATTAGTGGTCCACACTTCTTCCACAATTCTTAAATAAAGTTCTTGGTCCGTGTGATAGTACCTAACTTTTATCTAAAAGTGGTCCAAACTTCTTCCACATTTAGCTTTTTCCTTGTACCGTGTAGCTAACTTTATCAGCTAGTTTTATCAGTATCCATAAAACAATTTTTTAAAAATTTTATTGTTGTCGGAAGCCCAAAATCCGACTGGAGGTATCCGTTTACCGCCCTCCGATTCCGATCCAAGCCCCTCCTCTTTTGATAACAGCCGTGCGATAGGGATCCTAGCCCTTATTGTGTTTCTTTGGTGGTTTAGAGTTTATTTTTTGTACAAATGTGGAATAAATATGGAATTATCTAATTTTGATCTGATTGAACTTATCTGATTATATTTATCTGATTAAATTTTATCTAATTGAACTTATCTGATTATATTTATCTCATTAAATTTTATCTGATTGAACTCATCTGATTATATATATATGATTACATTTTATGTAATTAAATTTATCTGATTATATTTATCTGATTAAATTTTATTTGACTGAACTTATCTGATTATAGTTATCTGATTAAACTTTATCTAATTATAGTTGTTGTGCAAACTAAAAAAAATCAATAACTACAACAAAGAGAACAAATATTTCATTAGTTCAAAAAACCCAACAAGATATACATTACAATATTACTCATGTCCTCTCCTTGTAGCACGCAAATCCATTTCATTAGGAAATCGAGTTCTCTGTGGCCTACCGGCTCTAGCCGATCTATTGTTTGGGGGCGGGAGAAGTGTATGCGATGTTTCTGCCATGAAATTGAGGTAATTATTAATAGCCATAATATCAGAAGCGTACGTTCGGATGTAAGCATTTAAGGAATACACAGCTGGGATGAGGCTGTCTACGGTTATTTTTAAAAACCGACAAACCGCATACGCGTGAACACATGGCATCCCGTTCTGCTTCCAATACTCACACCCACATTCCTGCCTTGTCAGATCGATTGTCACTGGATCATGCGAACCAATAGCTACAGAGTAAATTCCCGTTGTTCGATTGTGCGGGACAATAGTTGTGTGATACCTACGCTGTGATCGCTCAAGAACATCCTTCCATATGTTATGTGGATACAAGAATCCAGCTTGGTGCCACATTATTCCCGCATTTCGTCGATCGGCAAATAGTTGGACGACTTTATCGAATGTGGCCTTTACTAGTGCTGTGATAGGCAATGTGCGGCACCCCTTTAAGACATTGTTAAAACTTTCAGAAAGGTTTGTCGTCAAAATGCCATATCTTTTGCCATCGTCATAGCTTAGGGCCCACATCTCAACAGGAATCTCATTCAAATATAGAAAAGCACTCTCATTTATGTCTCGTATTTGTTGCATACAGTCGTGAAATTCCTGTTCTGTGGGAGTGCTACCAGCTTGCCAACATAATTTTTTCAGTTCCGCGTTCCTAAACTTGGTCATGAAATTACTCCGTATGTGACGGAGGCAATAACGCTTTGAAACTTGTGGCAATCTCAACTCTCGCAAGGCTCTAAATGCACTTTCAATTCCTGCATGACGATCAGAGATAATGCACACACTACGTTATGCGACTAGAGGTAAGTGCCAATTTAATTAAAAAAATCTAGTCGGAATTGGGGAATCCGACTAGGGTATTTTTGATTTATTTTTTTTAAAACAATGCGTAAAGCGGATAAAATTTATTAAAAACCTAGTCGGAATTGGGAGATCCGACTAGGGTATTTTGATATTTTTTTAAAAAAATGACGCGTTTAATTGTGGTTCCAACATTTTACCAACCAACTCGTTTTATTTTCATTTTATTGTTTGCACTACGTGTTTTATCTGTATTCATTTATTCTACCAACTGCATTTATATGGTCACCGTACGTACCCCAATAGCTCCTATAAAATGAGTTCATTTCTTTTCAAAATTTTCACTCCAAAAATAATCCTTCTTTCTCTCTTGATATATTTATTACATTTTCTGTTTAGGCATTCTTCTCTCATATAAAAATGTCTAGTGAGGGAAATATTGTTGTTATGGTTCATTGGAATGGCTCTACATCTCAAAAAGATGATGACATAGAGTACTTCATACCTCCTAGGGCGGTACTATTCATTAGTGAAGCAGATGATTATACTACTATACATGAGAATGTTCTAAATCATGTTAGAGGCGACGGATTTTCCGAAATTAAATTAATTTACGGAAAATTGCCAAAATATAAGAATTCTGTATATGTTGCTTCTAGACTATGGCCCATTCACGATGAGCAGACATGGCGTCATTTTTTCAGGATCGCTAAAAATGAGTATGAGGAGTTGCACATTTACGTGGAAGCTTCAGCGACCCCGCCACAAACTTTGACGTTCCACGGAACTCCCAGAGAGGAAGGCCCATCATCCGTATATGATCGGAGGAACAACCGCCAAACGTTTCAGAACTACGAATCTCCTGGTATGTGTTGTTCAAGTTAAATAGAATTTACAATGATTTGGTTTTATTTGTTGTCATTTTAAGAGTGTAGAAGTAGTTAATTTAGTAATTTGTAAATTTTTTAATTTTGATTGTTAAATAGGAATTTCAGAGTAAAAATTGGCTATCTGTCTGTCTCATCTGCACAAATTCAATACTTCTATCTAATTACACAAGAAACACATTCTAGTTCAAATAAATGAAATAACCGGAAGTGGAAGTGGACTTAAAAAAATTTAAAATTTTATCTCCTGTCGGAACACCCAAATCCGACGAGAGCACAAAAAGTTTTTATTATTCAAATAAACTTAAAATTTGTATACAGCGCATAAAATTTCAAAACTCATGTCGGAACACCCAAATCCGACCAGAGCACAAAAAGATTTTATACTTCAAATAACTTAAAAATTTTATTTGAGAGTGTAGAAGTAGTTAATTTAGTAATTTGTAATTTTTTTAATTTTGATTGTTAAATAGGAATTTCAAAGTAAAAATTGGCTATCTGTCTGTCTCATCTGCACAAATTCAATACTTCTATCTAATTACACAAGAAACACATTCTAGTTCAAATAAATGAAGTAACCGGAAGTGGAAGTGGAATTTTAAAAAAATTTAAAATTTTATCTCCTGTCGGAACACCCAAATCCGACGAGGGCACAAAAAGTTTTTATTATTCAAATAAACTTAAAATTTGTATACAGCGCATAAAATTTCAAAACTCCTGTCGGAACACCCAAATCCGACCAGAGCACAAAAAGATTTTATACTTCAAATAACTTAAAACTTTTATATATTCCGATAAATTAAAACCAAAAAATTCAAACCATAATTTTATTTTATTTTAGATAGTGTGTTACAAGGAATTGTGTTCAATTCTAGAAATTCAAGAATTGTGTTAAATTAATAATTTGTCCCAAATAATAATATTGAAATTTATGAATGTATCTACTTTGTACAGTCACAAACTTGGGTGAAGAGTCGGACGACCCAGACTATGAACAAGGTTTTAGTAGTGATGTTGATTCATCCACGAGCGATGATAGTGACGACGTAGTAGACACCACCTGGGCTAATTTGGAGCTAGAAGAACCATATGTTCAAGCATTAGATTCTGAGCCTGAAAGGATCGAAGTAGGCGCAGTTTACTGTTCATATGATGCACTGAAAGAAGCGGTGGCGAGAGAAAACATTCGTCAATTTCGTCAATTCAGAACGGTTGACAAAAGGCCACGGTCCTGGAAGGCGGTTTGCATAGACCCGACCCTTTGCACTTGGCATATCCAAGCAGGAGAAGGTATGACGTCAAAAAAGTGGAAAGTAAAAAAATATCAACCCCATCACAGTTGTAGGGAGGATCCTGTCATGGCTCGGGATGACAGGCTCCTAACGGCCAAAATTATAGCCAGTGAAATCGCTCCAAAAGTGAAAGTCGACCCGGACTACAGCATTAAACTGATAATGTCAGACATATATGAAAAATTTAATATCCATGTTTCATATAAAAAAGCTTGGAATGGACGCTTGATCGCTCTGGAGCGTAAATTCGGCAATTGGGAGGCATCATATAATAAACTTCCTATGTTGTTGGAATCTATACAGTTTTCAAATCCGGGGACTGTTGTTCATTTGCAATCACAACAGGCCGGCACTCCTGATACGTCTGAATTCCGCCGAGTGTTCTGGTCATTCAAGGCTTCTATAGACGGTTTTAGATTTTGCTTACCCGTAGTCTCGGTTGATGGCACTCACTTATATGGCAAATACAAGGGAGTTCTTCTAGTTGCGGTAGCCATGAATGCTAACCGTGAGATATTTCTTCTTGCATATGCTGTTGTTGAGAGTGAGAATGCTGACAGCTGGTCGTGGTTCTTTGCAAGGGTTATGCGTGATGTGGTTGGAAATCACCGTAGTGTGTGCATTATCTCTGATCGTCATGCAGGAATTGAAAGTGCATTTAGAGCCTTGCGAGAGTTGAGATCGCCACAAGTTTCAAAGCGTTATTGCCTCCGTCACATACGGAGTAATTTCATGACCAAGTTTAGGAACGCGGAACTGAAAAAATTATGTTGGCAAGCTGGTAGCACTCCCACAGAACAGGAATTTCACGACTGTATGCAACAAATACGAGACATAAATGAGAGTGCTTTTCTATATTTGAATGAGATTCCTGTTGAGATGTGGGCCCTGAGCTATGACGATGGCAAAAGATATGGCATTTTGACGAAAAACCTTTCTGAAAGTTTTAACAATGTCTTAAAGGGATGCCGCACATTGCCTATCACAGCACTAGTAAAGGCCACATTCGATAAAGTCGTCCAACTATTTGCCGATCGACGAAATGCGGGAATAATGTGGCACCAAGCTGGATTCTTGTATCCACAGAACATATGGAAGGATGTTCTTGAGAGATCACAGCGTAGGTATCACACAACTATTGTCCCGCACAATCGAACAACGGGAATTTACTCTGTAGCTATTGGTTCGCATGATCCAGTGACAATCGATCTGACAAGGCAGGAATGTGGGTGTGAGTATTGGAAGCAGAACGGGATGCCATGTGTTCACGCGTATGCGGTTTGTCGGTTTTTAAAAATAACCGTAGACAGCCTCATCCCAGCTGTGTATTCCTTAAATGCTTACATCCGAACGTACGCTTCTGATATTATGGCTATTAATAATTACCTCAATTTCATGGCAGAAACATCGCATACACTTCTCCCGCCCCCAAACAATAGATCGGCTAGAGCCGGTAGGCCACAGAGAACTCGATTTCCTAATGAAATGGATTT